GCTAAAAGAAAATAATCTGACTAATTAACTATAGTATTATTATAAAAAGGTTCAATTATAATCTAAAATAAGGTTCCCTTTGGCTTTGTAATTTAGTCATTTTGTATTGAACATTTATAGCAATTGTGCTTGGAAAGAAACCATTCTTGAAATGTTCTGCTCTATACTTGTAGTACAAAGGTCGTAGATTCGATTCCTATCGTGGCCAGGCATATTTTTCAAGCTTGTCCGGTATGGATATACACACAGAGTAACATCGCAAACATCATATTCACCTGAGGCTGAGTACACAACACCAACACAGAAAAGAAAATAATGACAAATTATTAGAATTCTGGCCTAAATAAATATAGTGTTGATGAGCGCAATCTCTAGTCTGGGTGGTATGTTCCGCAAGAGCGCCCCCTTTAGCAATCTTCATTAAGGTTTTCATACAAATATAATTTCGTCTAGTGTCGTTCAATCTTGGGAAGCCACCAGGAAGGATAATACACATAGCTCGCCTTTGTACTTTTTCCAGTACATCAGATGGCGTATTGCATTGTTCCACACCTCGCAACAGTATTCTAAGATTGATAAACTAGAAAATACATGCATGCAGAAACTCTCGCCTTGCTGACAAAACCATTATATTTTCCGAACATGAAGTATTTAAAGTAGTTGTCATGGAAACACGATAATTTTTTAAGAATATTTTTACAAATGAAGAATCCCTAAATATATCACTTTTAATTAGGTAAAAGTTTTCTTTTAATATATTAAACTAAACTGCCTTTAGGCTTTATCGATAAACTTTGAGTTTGAAATAAAATGATTTCAAATTCTCGCACGCAATAAAAAAGGGTAATCAATAAAGATACATGCACTGAAATTATATGCTGTCTATTAAAGCCTCTGCCTGCCTTGTTTCATTTAATATATACGCAAAGATCCGCTTTTAAAACAATTATAAAGCAAACAATACAACAATATTTAAAACAAACTTACCTTCGTTAACGTCGGCGCCTTTGCAATATGGCGAAATACTACGAGTGAACAAGATGTGAATTTTCACAAATATTATGCACGCCGAAGGTACTGCAGCCAATGTCCACAGGCACACTTCAATAATTATTTACCTCAAATCAATACGATTCAATACAACTGCTATTTTCCATATTATTTGCTTTGAACATCCACATGTTCATAATTTTTGTCACAACGTACAGGCAATCCAATAGTCGACACGGTCCACAAGTCCAGTTCTGTTGTATACAGTATACAAATCTTCTTAATCTTGCTCGAAATAGGGAAGTCCTTTTGACAACACTATTTAATTAAATGCAAAATCATTGCGCGGCGAAATTAATCTAGTCTGGCCATGCTACTGCCACTAGAAATACTTAAACCAGGCAAACTTGACTAAATATTTCCACAGACTTTGTTCCACAACCAGAAATTGAGGCAGATTGCAAACGACCTATACCGTGTTCTCCGATTTTGCGATTTGCAGCATCGCGTAATATAATTTACTCATTTCCATCGGTCAAAATCACCTGACGTTATTTTTGGCTCGAGTGCTGACTTGATAAATAAGTACCCTCTGTGTTTCATTGATATGTTTAAACATAATTCACAAAGACAAATAAAGTTCATATTAAACTATGTTTGAATCACCAAATAGTCTCACAGTTTGAATAATAATTAGCACGGAATCAGTATAAAAGAAATGGGTACGAACAATTAACAAACAACCAACCAGAACCCGATTTTCGCTGGTGTTTTCAGAGCCTCGGCAAGCCTCCACAGAGGATTGCAGGCTCAGGGTTCGAGATTGAGTTCTCAGCAGAGCTAGAAAATTTACTGGGCCTTTACACGGCATCCCGCCTTGTGACGTCATTGAAGTCAATTAACCTGCAAATCAAGTTCAGCCTGCTGAGTGAATGCCCTAAGCACAGAATAGAGACTCACAAAAGGTCGACTTCTTGGTTTTGCCTATGATTTTGGTGGTAATCGTTGCAATGCTGACGCCATGGTTAGCCTGCAGTACGCTTATGAGAGGCAATCACTCCCTGAAAATATTCAAAATGGCGGACGTCCAGGGGATGAATGCCTCTTATAAGCACACTAGCTAGCTATGGCGTCGGCATTTTGATGACGAATCATGGCATGGCAAGGGTTACACTTTTTTCGCTGAGTCGGAGTTTCTTTTTGTCTCTATTCTGTGTTCTAGGTCTTGGCTCCAATAATAACCAATAATTACTACAGAATTACAGACCTTCGAAAATAAAAGTGCTGACGTCAGCATTATTTTTGCCGAACGCCTTCAGAACTGTGTTATACATGAAATTTATAGCTAAAAATTCTTGGTTAAGGTTAAGACGGGATTTCTTATCTGATATAAACAAGAATTTAAACATCTTGGCTCAAACTTGCCTTTTGGATAAGTGCTACCAAGTATTTATCTAAACCTTAAAGTGGAAGTCAAGTCCGCTCTGCGCATCGGTTCTGCTCATAACAATGTGAGGACCTCTAATGTAAACATTGCCCAAATTTCGAATGTTTCGAATTTTTCTGAACATAAACTCTATTTCATTTTCATATAGAAGCATAGCGAACCAAAATGGTGTTAGATATTCAGACAGTACATCATATTTTAAAAAATGCAGCAGTTCAAAATGTAAACAAACCGTTTGTTTATACATTACGGACTTGACTTCCCCTTTAACCAATAATTTTTAACCACATTTTGTGTAAAACACAGTTCTGAAGGCGATCGAAAATAATGCTGACGCCAGCACTTTAATTTTTCAAGACGCTGTAACTCAGGAGGAATTAATCATATTGATTCAAAATTTTTGGTGAACACTCGTAATAATGATTTTAACAACATATAAAACTTCCAGTGTAGAGTTATTGTTTATTACTTACCGTCAAAATGGGAAAGATCCATCACTTTTGTAATAAAATATGGTATATTCCGGGAAAATTTCGTGATATATTCCGTGTTAGTATTTTTGCACAAGTAAACATAACAAATCCTACAAGGTGATTGGTCAAATTTGACGTATTAATCTGTTATATTCACCTACTGGTCAATATAACAAAATCGACATTTTCAAAATGGCGGTTAGCCGTTTTGTTGAAAACAAGTTAGTGATAAAGAAATAAGCGAAATTAAAATGAATTCAGACCAGAAAAACACAAAAAGACTTCTGCAAAAATACTAAAACAATTATTCGCCTCAGGCTCGGTGATTATCGGGGAATATTCACAACGACTTCGTCTCGGCGAATATTCCCCGATAACACCTCGCCTTCGGCGAATAATTGTTAAATATTCGAACTCGCTCATATTCCGTGATATTCCGCCATATTCCGTGATATTCCGCCATATTCCGTGATATTCCGGCATTCCTGGTTTTCACAACGCCCGATAAGTAAATACTGAAAAGATATCCAATGAAATACAAAACAATGGACACTCCGAAAACGGTTAATAACATTTTAATTCGACGTTTTGACTAGCTTGCAGCCAATGAGTTTAATAAGTTCTTTTGTAAGATTGGAGCTAAACTGGCTGAAACTATATTGGCTGATCCACTACAATACGTCACTCCCATGCAATGTAGTCAATCATAGTCTTTCAAAACATGGCTTGGAAGCTCCGCTAAAGTCTTTGTTCTATCTTTTTGTTCGCGTTTATTATGCAGTTTTCTGCACGGTGCACGGTCAATGAACACATTGTATTTCAGTATAATGAACGAATCATCCAATAGCAAAGTTTCAGTTAAGTCATTCAATATTTAATATTTAGTATGTTTCAATTAAGTCATTCAATAATATTCAATCATTAAATATTAATAAACCTAAAACAAAGGATGTGCACGGTGTAAGGTACGGCTCAACATAAACACACAGCTCATTATAATCGCTTTGAAGTATACTGAGTTTCCAGACCATGTCTCGAAAGACTGTGAGCCAATTTATGTTTAAGAAATTTAACGTAATTATAATCAGTGCTGTAAAAATTACTTCTCAAAGTTTTGAGCACAGGCCCACAAAAGGATCTAGGAACCAGTATGCAAAGATAAATTTGAGCCAAGGATGACTTATTTTTGGACGTTTTCATCGTGATTATAGACTGATTTAGAAAACAAAACGCGAATTGAAAGATATGTGCCTTCCGAAGCGAAGAATTTCTTCATGCAAAACAAAACGTTTGAATAATTTGTGATCCCAGAGGTATCCTCAACAACGTTCTCATTCTGAATACAACGTTAAACTAAAATTTTAACGTCATTATTGTAGCAACGTGAATGCTTGTTTCGACGTAGCCGTTTGTATAAGGTTATTTTAAAGTGCGTATGACATGAAATTTCTTATTTTCTTAAACGAAAGAACTAGCGATCTTTAAGCTGTAGTGTAAGTTTTTTCAGTTTCTTGTTTTTATGGTTTGTTCCCGAGATATTTCAATTTGTTTGATATGTAAATGAGTGTGAATATGTCCTCTAATTTATGACGTCATGTTGGTTGCAAGCTCTTCAAAATGGTTGAATATCACTGCTATCATCCAAGATGATAATTTCAAACTTCATTCACTGGTAAA